AGAGAGAGAGAGAGAGAGAGAGAGAGAGAGAGAGAGAGAGAACAAATGTTGTGTTCCCCAGGTCTTGGCTGTCTCTCTTTTTATCAGTAGCACCAACAACTGGAAAAGCCTGGATTTTAACTTTTGCATTAGCCTCAAAACCTGCTGAACAGATTTATCTTCCATCAATAGAACCATAGTGCTCACCCTTTTCAGTTTAAAGGTAGATATATTTTGAATGTCACTTAAAAACTTAGTTATCTTCTTCAAGATGAAGAACTCCAGGCAGTCAATGGATGCTGAGGGAGGGAGAATTCTCCAGGGACTAGCTCCCAGAGAGTTATGTAATCCTAAGTGGGCAGTCCTAAGCAGAGGTACACACAAGCACCACTAAATGGACTCGGTGCATTATATATAATATAAATATATACGCAACAATAATAATCAAAGACGAGGACAAGAAATGGAGAGGGAGTTGGGGGACATGGGAGGAGTTGATGGGGGACTTGGAGAATGGAAACAAAGAAAGACCATACTTATGTATGAAATTCTCATAAAAGTTATCAAACATTGAATTGAAAGATGTTTATATAAGATCTATTCACTGAAAATATATTTTTTTGTTTTTTTGAGAGAGGGTCTCCCTGTAGCCCCAGCTATCCTGGAACTCACTATGTAGACCAGGCTAGCCTTGAACTCACAGAGATCTGCCTGCCTCTGCCTCCCAAGTGCTGGGATTAAAGGCATTGTGCCACCATGCCTGGCACTGAAAATATTTTTATAAAACAATTCTTAGCAAAATAAACAGATAAGACAAATAATTGACACAAAAACTGGCCTTATGTAACAAAACAAAGCAGCTTCCTTCCATGGAATATGAATAGCAGCTTCCGTGAGGTATTGGTTAGAGATTAAGGAAGGGATATCAAAAGGATATAATTTGTGGGTAGCCTTACCCTTTGACATAAATATCACTTGACTTTTGACCTGTGAAGATATTCTCATCTTCTAAAATGACATCTTCAGTGTTCCAGATAGTTACCCTCAACTCATACCTGCGACGAAGGAAGACAGCATTAAGTAAATGACCTTGAAAATGGAGTCAAAGTGCATTACTCTTGGTCTGTAAGCTTGGTCACATCTTTCAAGTTCATCTTTCTAACAGACCACCCAAGGCCTTGTTCTGTTAGAACCAAGTAGCCCAACTGGAGATCTCAGACTCATCAAGGCCTGAGTATCTCGAAGAAGCTCCTCTTCCCATGGACCAGAACTCTTCAGAAGAGGAACTCAAAACTCAGAAGCCACCACTTCAACAACTTCCATCACCACAACCCATCCACTGCTCTCACCAGTCAGGTGGAAAGGGAGGTCTGGTATTAGCTAGCCTATCATAGTGCATCTCAAATGTTATAGTCTTTTATTCTGCTACTGTGGTCTCTTTCCCTCAAGAGGGGCAGACTTACCCTTTGGGTTTCCTTGGTGAAATGTCAACAGGAGGTCCAGGCTGAGGCATATCCTTGGGAAACATGTCCACCCACATCTGTAGGCGGCCCTTGTTGAGAAAAGAAAGCCTCCTTTAGCTTTGAGAGGGAGTAAGAGCATGGTCAATTGATCATCATTTTAAACCATCCTTTTAATAGAAGTGGGTATTAAGTATGGCTTGCTACCTTTACAGACATGTGGCATATTTGTTAATAAAGATAGAATCTTTCCTTCCTTTCCTTTCCTTTCCTTTCCTTTCCTTTCCTTTCCCTTCCTCCCTCCCTCCCTCCCTTTCTTTTACTTCTTTCCTTTTTTTTTGGTAGAGCTAGAGTCTCACGTAGCCTATGCTGGTTTGAACACATTATATAGTTGAAGCTGGTCTTGAACTCATGATAGAGCTACTTCCACATCCTAAATGCTGGGATTGCAGGCATGTACCACCTTCCCTGGTAGAACTTACATTTTTGTTAGGAATTCATGGATGAATAAGTTAAGAGCCCCCACTATGAGGTAGACACAGTACTATGCCATTGATAAACATTATCTCATGAATTGTTGCATATCAGATAGGTTTTGAAGTTTCTCAAATGTCAAGGCTCTTCCAAAAGATGTTGTTAATTCAAATTTTAAAAATTAAAAAATTAAATATCTAACACTGGCTCCAGAGCAGAGTTTCTCAGTGCTGGCATTATTGATATTTGGGGTGAGCAGCTCTTTGTTTAGGATGGAGTCTCCTGTGCTTGCATGTTTAATTTAGCAGCATCTACCTACTACCCACTAGGTACCAGTAGCATCCCATCAACTTCTAACCACCAAAACAATTTCTAGCTAGCACTGCATGTTTCTTGGTGAGAAGGCCAAAGCTGTCTTTGGGTAAATATCATTACTATAAGGCACACAAGATTAGGTTTTAGAGATATAGCCACTTTCCTTGGGGACAGACATTCCAAATTAGGCTAAATCTGTCTTGCCCACTACTGCATCCATCTTGATAAGCCTAAAGATATTCTAAAGAAACACCTGTGCTCCTTCTTCTAGCTCTAACAGTATTGATAAAATGGTTCCCAAGAAATTGGAATTCCCCCAGGAATTTCATTTTGGGAGAAGGGAAAGGATGAAGTCTAATACTAACCAGAGGGGTAGCTTGATGCTGAGAAAGAGATTTCATGTAGTCTGACACCTTGTCAGACCACCTTGAAGGAGAGACCTGAACTGATGGGTAGGAGCACCCTTGACCAGGATTGATTTGTTATATATGCATACCTCTTGCACTGTATTTAAACCTTTTAAAGCTCATGTCAGGACCCAGAAGAGAGACTCGAGAGGTTCACTGGAGAACTGTGTTCCTCTTCTCAGTATGGCCACATTGAATAAATCTCCTTTAATTTTTCAAGGCTACTTATGATGTCTGTTCAACTGACCGACTGAGAACAAGTGGCCAAGCCTAGCTAGTTTGGCTTGGCAGGATTCAGGCTCTTATCCTAAGAACTCTGGTAACACTACCTGCTCCATTCCAGGCTTATCCTTGTGGTACAGTGGTCGGGTTTCTATGTGCTCAGGAACCAGCCTACACCCAACCTTAGGGATATCCTCCCAAGAGTGTAAAACTTTGAGGGCCAGGTGTTCATAAGACTCCACTGCCTCCTCTGTGGGAAATAAAAATACAAGGAAAGAAGATTATTAGATGGTACTCCTCCAAGGAGACAGTGAAGGCTGTAGCCATCTTAAGTACTTCTCTTAGAGTCACCATTAAAGATATTAAGAAACAAGAGGAGCAAAAGAAAATAGAAAATGGAAAGAGTTGGAGGTGGCATGGTAGGAGAGAGCTGGAGGCTGGATACTGAGACTGAGACATGAGATGGGTTGATTGACAGGAAGACTGAGCCAGCAGTTACACCCTGGAGTGTGGACTCCACACACCCTCTTAATCAGGTTCCTACAGAGCCACAAATCAAATGATGGCATCTACACACTAGAGAGGGTTTGTTTGTGGAGATATTAAACTGTTCACTAACACCACTGTGTGATGACCTAGGAATCAGGGTGGCCCTAAATAAGGTGGTGGCATAGTTACAATATGTGTTTATGGATTGCCTTTATTATCTCAGTGGCTGAGATCTCCCTACTATAAACACCAACCCACAGGAAAGATCCCTCTTTCCATTACACTAAAGGAGATGATTCATGGCTTAAAAAACCAAAACAACAATGAAACTATTGGTAAAATAATACTTATAAAGCAAGAAAAAATTTTTGAAAGATTAAAATCTTCTTGACAAAGTTTATAATGGCAAAATTTTGATATAAGAAAATTGAATTTAGCTTTATAAAAAGGAACAACAGAAGCAATCTCCTGACAGAAATAGTTACAATCAGTTAAACAAGTTATCAACGAGCAAAATTGTGGTCACAAGCCTGGATCAATCAAGAACTGACCTTGGGAACATACTTTCAGATTTCATAGTGGGCAAAAAATATTAATTATATAATCATTTTGACAAAATAATTAAATTGGTTTAAGATTTAAAAAAGAAATTTTCTTAACAGAAATGCATCCATGTCACTAATATCTGTCTAAATATCAAGAACTCTATATGCAAGAACCTTCCTATGTTCTTGGGTCCAAAATAAAGAAGTAAAAACAAATCTTGGCATTAAACTGGCAGGAGTCAACAATGTCCAAACATCCTCTACCATGTCCTTAATTAGACTTTGCATCAAAAGTATTGGCCCTTTATAGGGAAGCATTAACTGCTCATACCAGAACGGTTCTGTGTCATTAAAGCAAGGTGTCTTTTTTTTTTTTTCTCAACCCAAACTTATGGAAGCTTCTTTGGGATCTTTAGGGTACATCTTATGATGCTTGCATAGAAAAATCTATCTTTTGGTGCTAAAACAGGATAGTTATTGGTACAACCCATATACCAATCACTGGGTTGTGCCCAATGATTCACATTATATAACATTCATTTGAAGCTATTGCTTTCCTTCTAAGATAATGCTACTTTTTTATCTATACTGCTATAGAAATAGCAAAAATATATGAAATATAGATAAAGAAGTTCATTGTAGCATTAATTTTCACCACAAAAGGTGCATAGAATATAATCAAGTGGCACAGCTATAAAATAGAGTACTATCTGTGATCATTTCAAAAAGTAAAGGGAGGGCTGGAGAGATGGCTCAGCGGTTAAGAACACTGATTGTTCTTGCAGAAGACCAGGGTTCGACTCCCAGCACCCACATGGCAGCTAACAACTGTCAGTAACTCCAGTTCCAGGGGATCCGACAGCCTCTTCTGTCCTCTATGGTCATTGCACGACATGGGTGCACTTACTTACATGCAGGCATAACACTCATACACATAAAAAAATAATAATAAAGAAAATTTTTTTTTAAAAAGTAAAGGGAAAGCTTCATAACCTATGAGAAATGGAAAGATTATATATGGTACATTTACAATGCTTCAAAAAGTTAGTACATAAATAAAGACTGAAAGGAAATAGACCAACACACAGCATAATCATCTGAACTTTGTGATAGTGAGTGCTTGACGTTAGCTTACTTGATTTTCTGTATTTTGTCTTGGTAGCATGCATCACTTTTGTAATTAAAGGACCCACTATCTCTTACTGGGAATACCAGTGATACCACTGGAACCAGGCCTTTCTAAAGAAGGGCAAACACCGGCAGAACACTGTGTGGGAGTTACCAGTGTCCTCTTCAGTGAAGACTGTTTTTCCAGAAAAGACCTTGTTTCCAATCTGTATTTTCCCAGGGCGAAGGTATGGTCCATCCAGCTTGTTGTCTTTGCAGAGCTTGGTGAGGATTTCCGTGGGTTTGGATGTGTCCCTCCAGGCATTGTATCCTTCTCTGAGAAGTAGAGAAAGGACAGATGGAGAGAGGCCTGGTTGCCCCTGGGAGAACACCCTTCGGGAGCCACATTAAAATGTCAACTCGGGTCTGACTTGTGCAGTTTCCTTCACACTTACTCTCTCTTTTATACACTTGGGATCATGTGTTTGTTTGGTTTTTTTTTTTTTTTTTGGTCCAGTGCCTTTGCATGTATACAGCTTGCTTGTAAGCCAGGGCTTATAAATAGCTTGATACAAAAATTGCTTGCAAAAAAATCTTATTTAAAAAATAAAATGATATACTCTTCTTTTAAAAAAAGAAGTGAAAGTCATATAACAAAATTAGTAAATTTGAAGTTGATAGATTCAGTGGTATGATATAGTCACCATAACGCACAATCACTACTTCTGTCTGACTACAAAGGGTCTCCATCATCCTCAAAGAAGACCCTGTAACCAAGTACAGTTACTCTTTGTTTCTTCTTCCCAGAATCTCTGGCAGCCACCAGTCTGTTTTCCTGGCAGCTTAGCTATTAGTTGGTTTTTATTACTTCTAAGCAGAATAGCCATTTGGCTGCTACTATAAGAAGGAATCTTAGCTTATCATTTCAGGTTCTCTGTTCGTTTCCTTCCTTCTCCTTTTCCACAAAAGTGTCTTATAGACTCAATCTCAGGCAAGAGCTCTTGACATGTTCCTCAAATCAGTGATTTTCCTGGTAGAAGTTTCTAAGTCCCTCTAATTCTTTTTCCCTTAAGAAATAGCTATTTGGGAGCTGGAGAGATGGCTCAATGGTTAAGAACACTGGCTATTCTTGCAGAGGATCCACATTAGATTCCCAGCACCAACATGGTGGCTAACAACTGTCTGTAACTCCAAGGGATCCAACAGCCTCTTCTGTCGTCCGTGGGCATTGCATGCATGACACAGGTGCACTTACCTACATGCAGGTAATATACACATACACATGAAATAAATAAAATGTTAAAAAAAGAAATAGCTATTTGATTAAGAATTGTTGCATGACACAGGTGCACTTACCTACATGCAGGTAATACACACATACACATGAAATAAATAAAATGTTAAAAAAGAAATAGCTATTTGATTAAGAATTAACTTATAGTTATCCTTTTTAAAAATATTTATTTTATTTTAAATTATGCATATATGTGTGTCTGTATGTGGTGCATGTGTATGTGTGTGTATGTGTGTGCATGTGATTGCTGGTGCTCATGAAAGCCAGAAGAGGTTCTCTGATTCCCTGGAGCTAGTGTTAAAGGTGACTGTGAGTTGCCTGATGTGGGTTCTGGGAACCAAATTTGGGTCATCTTCAAGAGGAGGGGTTGCTCTTAACCCAGAAGCGATCTCTTCAGCCCCAGAAGTGCTTCTTAAGAGCTACTAAGATGGGATTAGGTCCTCTACTCATTGAGACATGGAGTTCATAAGAATTTACTTGCTTCTGTATTTAAATAAATGCAAACAGGGAACTATAAAATAGAGCTACACAGCCATTTCCTGTACTGTACCAGCAATGAGAGGATCCTGGAAAGGTCACCCAGGCCAGAGTCACCCACAGGTCTCTCTAGGAATAAATGCTTTATAAAGTGAGGATAATAAATACCCCAGTGAATTCTGGGAGAATTGAATAAGCTACTTCATGCAAAGCTCTTAAGACAACAAATCCTAAGCACACATGGGTCTTAGTTATAGAATGCTGAGATAGCGACATTTGTGTCGTATTAATCATTCTTCACATGGCATCATTCCCAGGGAATCCTGACCACCAGGCACAGCTGAGCAAACAAACACATCACAATCTGGGTCTTCACTCTTGAAGAACCTGTCCTGGGTTTTAAATCAGAGCTGCTTCCTCAGCCTCATTGGCCCTCAAGGGCATGGTCTCCCCAAACCAGCCCTGATGATATGAAAAACATTCCCAATATTAAAGCCAAGGCTGGTCTGCCTTCCTAGGTGGATAATCACATGCAGAGTCCAGATCCCGCAAGGCTGTGGCCTCAGGACATCAACAGGACAAAGAACTTACATTTCATACTGGTTCTGCAAGCCACAGATGGCTCGATGTTTGCTGTAGAAGCGGTTCTCCAGGTCGATCTTAGTCTCCCCGATGAGGTCATCTGTCCCGATCATGTCATGGTCATAGATCAGGACAGAGAGCAGGGACTCCTTTGGGAAAGTGGCCTGGATCTCAAATGACCTGAGTCCAAGCAGAGATTCTGGGAGTCAGCAATGTTTGGCAGCATGGAGTTTCCCCAGCGTCACTTACGCTAGCTTAGTCAGAACTGCCGGCTCAGCTATTTAGTTGGTACTTCATGGGCATTTGTGTAACTTAATCATCACTAAGTACAATCAACTTCTGATTCGTTTATCAATTACCAATAGACAATAGTCTCTCCTTTCACAGGTCATGTCTTATAGTCAACTGTCAACAAGGATTTTTGTCTGATTTCTGGTTTTGTATCTGTAACTTCCTGGTAAACTTTGGGAAAGTTACTCAATCCCTTTTACCTTATAAGAAGATGGGGATAAACAGGACTTTATAATTCAACATGATGATTAAATGCAAGGGTGCTTATATAAAACACATTTCACTTCCAAGTTTTCAACTCAGTGGAATTATTACCATTCCTTTCTACTACTGCGTTATCAGGGAATACCAGCTGGAGTTTCCAAAAAGAAAACCCAGCTGATAGACTGTCTCTATACATGGCTGAGCCGCTTGAGAATAGAAAGAAACCTGCTCTTTTGATGTCTGCATTTCTGGAGCTTGCACTTTGTCCATAGAGAATATATATTTAATGAATATTTATTCAAACTATAAAGCATGTCAGAAATCACCATATCCAATATCTCCAATTTACAGCAACAGAGACTGAAATTCACAGAACTTAAATGACTTTCTCAGGATCATAAATCAGCCCCTTCCTGGAATATGTGCCAATATCCTAAGTCCTAGTTACCACACCAGTGCAAAATACTGAAAGGAAGAAAGAGCAGTGCTGTCCGATTTCTATAACAGTAGGTTATAGATGGAATTCAACTTACGGTGAAACCTGGTATTTTAGGAAATTGTCTTCCATAAAATAAAATTGAGGGTACACCAAGATTTCTTCAGCTGTTGCAGACCTTGGTTATTGTGGGATAGAATGGTCTGGGCTGGGAGGGAGGGACAGCGGGATGAAGAATGGTGGACCTTTTATTTCCCTGCATACCCAAAGTCCTGTCTGAGCTGCTGTCTTCACTGTCGGATTCCCTAGCCCTGATAGTTACTCTCCCAGGGTGGCAGAGACTGTAATCACAGCATGGCAGGAGCTGATAAACCATCCTAGGGAGAAAAAGTCCAGGTAGCCTACAGCTCCAGTGTTTGCAACTGATGGAAGAGGCTCTAGGAGACCCTAGATGAGCTGCACAGGGAAGAAGAAATCCATGATGGTGCCTTCACTGACTTCAAGACCTGGATTCCAAGCTGTAATGGCTATTCTGGCGGTATCTCACAAGGAAGCATCCAGCATCCATCTCCTGAGCTTTACCATCACCAAGGCAGCCACTGAGGAAGGATTTAAGAAGGGCTGCACTGTGCTGGCAATCATGACAGAGGATGTGATAGCTCTCACCCATCTCACCAAGCTGGGCTCACCTGAATTTTAACTGAAGTTGTCATTCAAAGAGTTACTAAAACCAAGACACACAATTAAATTCTTGGTCACCCAGGGAAACCCTAGGCTTATATCAGCTCATCTGTCAATGACAGTATCATTAAATGCAATGTTTGCTCAAGAAAAGATCATTAAATGAGCAAAAACTGAGATGGCTAAGGCATGCAGAGGCACAGAGCTTCAAAGAAAGATGTCCCATGGTTCCTTTGTTCATTCATTCCATAATTTATTCAATTGGTATGTATCACACATCTCAGATATGACATGCTTTGAAGATCTTAAGGTGACCTGAATAATTTCTGGGTGGGTAAGGCACATAAAAACATGGAAAAAAAAGATGACAGGAGGTGAGAGTGAGTCACAGGCAAGGTGTGGTGTGTGGAGGAGAGGGGAGTAAAGAGAAGTCTTTAGCTGGAACTTGACTACAGCTAGTTCTTCCAGCCTGAGACCTGTAGTGTTTTCATAGGACTTAACCACACCATCATAATCCTCCACTTATTTTTCTCTCAGAAGTCACCTGAGCCCTGAGAAGCACAGACTGACAGAACACCTCACCCAAAACAGATTCCTAGCATCTGTGAAGAAGTAAAGTTCTACAGGGAACCAAAGAAACGGAGGACATGTCACTGTGAGGGCCCAGCCAGAACCAAGACCTGAAGAAACGTGTAAGCCAAAGCATCAGTGAATTATGCTAGTCACTCAAGAGCAGATCTTTGGTCTCTCATTATTTTTAGTTATAGCTGACACTCAAGGCACTGGAGATTAAACAAATAATTCTGGGAAATTTTGAGAGCTATGAAGAGCTGCTGAAGACTGTGGTCATACTCAAACTTAGCATGATGCTGAGTGACAGGGTCCCACTGGATCTCAGTGGAAAATGAGGGATGTTTTATGTGTGCTTCTATTCATTCATTCATTCATTCATTTATTCATTCATTCACTCATTGGCTTATTCTTCTACACTAAAAAACTCATTGAGCACTTGCTGTGTGCCAGGCCCTGTCCACAGTGCTGAGAAGGGCCAGCCATTAGGCATATCCTGCTCAGACAGATCTGACCTTCTAATGGAAAGCAGAAAATGGCCAGTGAACACACTGGGGATGGGGCTGTAACATAGTCCAATAATGCCCTAGCAATCATCCCCAAGATGGTTCCCTAGGCTCCAGATCAGAGCAGAGGCACAGCATGCTGGAAGGCAGTAGGACTGCACCAGCAACTTTTGTCCTGGAGTAACAGTGAAGATACATCCAATTAACCACCTACACCTGGAGAGATTCTAGAAGAAGCCCTGCAAAGCCAGAGGAGGGGCGAATGTTCCTTCACACTGTCCTCCCACTTGCTAGGGCCATAATGGGACTAATAAACCCAGTCTGACTCCTGTTTGGAAAATCACAATGGTGAAGCACTTGGCAAAAATGAAGCACTTAAATGTCAGATAGCTGTAAAGGTCAGCTCTGGATCAGAGAAGCAAGAGTACATGTCCCAGAACTGTCATTTTAATCGTTCCCATTAGTCTGGATAGGCTGGATCATTTATTGCCTCATTTCCTCAAAAGCAATAAAATATAAGAAGCTGATCAAATGCCATGGGGGTTCAAAGTGATTATAAATGGGTAAATGAATTTGAATGAGGCTGATGGTAATTCCATCCCATGCTCCAAAATTCCTCAAAAAA